CTTGAGAAAGATGTTAAAAACTACGTAAAGAAGTGTCCAGATTGCCAGAAACAAAAATATACAATTCAGGTGAGAGAGCCAATGGTTATCACCTCAACTGCACATACTGCATTTGAAAAGATATTTTTAGATTTAGTTGGACCCTTAGATAGAGATAATAATAATTTTTCGTATATATTAACGATTCAGTGCGAATTATCAAAGTATGTATGTGCGTACCCATTAATTAATAAATCAGCTTTAGAAGTAGCACGCTGTTTCGTCACCAATTTCATACTTATTTATGGAGTGCCGAGAGAAATAGCAACAGATAGAGGTACTGAGTTCATGGCAGACACGATGAAAGAGGTACGAGGGCTGCACTAAAAGTATCGGGAATGGAATATTTCCACTGTTCCAGTCATATTAAAATCTATTTAATTGCAAAGTCCAGGGTTTTAAAAATCGTATACCATTTATTTATTTAAAAAAAGATTCTCGGTCGTATCACAAGGTCTTGTCAAACTTGTTTAGTCGTTGAGAAAATGGAATTGACTCGAGAAAATNTTAGAAAACTCTCATAAGAGTTTAGCAGCATATTTACGTATTCAGACTGAACAGAATCCTGAATTGTGGAGTTCTTGGCTCCCCTTTTGGTGTTTCGCTTACAACACTTCAGTAAACTCATCCACCTTTCCTCTTTGAGTGCTCCACCCGGCTGTCGGTTTTTTGGCGAATCCTTTGAGTGTTACACGGTTCGGTCAGTACGCTCTTGCAAGTCGTCCCGAGCGCACGCGCGTCGCGACGCGAGTAATTACACGTCGTTCCTCTCGTATTTATTTCTTAACATGGAGTGGGACAAAGAAAAAACTCTGTATTTTATAGAAAAATACAGAGAAGAGGAAGTGTTGTGGAACCCAGCTCATACAGAGCATTATAACAAACTCAAGAAAGAAGACGCTTGGAATAGATTGGCTTTGTTACTCGACAGCGAAAGAGAAACATGTAAAAAGAAAATGACAAGTTTACTGGCATCATTGAGGAGGGAAAAACAAAAAACTAAACAATCAACTCGTACAGGNGAATAATGTTTCCAACAAAGGTTGTCAAATTGACTGACATGTTTATCGTATAGTACAGTCCACTATGAAAATTAGCTGTGGTTTGTTTCAACTACCTATTTTAACCCTTAAATGCATGATTTTTTATTTAGTTATGAAAAAAATATTTCAATTAGATTTTTAGTCACAGATACGGGGAAAAATAATAAAAAAAATCTTAGTACGAAATAAAAGTATATTTTTGAAAATTAACAGTATGTAGCCAAATGTCTACACCATGCGTTTTTATGCCATAAAATTGTTCTATGCTTTGCTTATTTGGTTTTTCTTTTCAGCATGTTTGGCTCGCTATCTGAAAAGGAAATTGAGGCAGCTCTTGCTGCTTTAAATGATGGTGCAGTCTCAGAAGATGATGAAAATTTTGATGATGATAACATCGATTATTACCCAAACGTACGGGATTTATTGCATGATCTGGATGAGGAGTCCATAGATCATAATCTACCCTTGGAACATAATGAAGACCCTCCCAGAGTCTATGAAGAGGAGCACATATTAGATGGTGTTTCCTTGGCGGAACCTGTGGTGGGTACTTCATCTGCGCAATCAAGTTCAGGTATTCCAGGAATTGCAGGTCACGTTGGGTAATAATCGATGTTATCATCATCTAAATTTTCATCATATTCTGAGACTGCACCATCATTTAAAGCAGCAAGAGCTGCCTCAATTTCCTTTTCAGATAGCGAGCCAAACATGCTGAAAAGAAAAGCCAAATAAGCAAACCATAGAACAATTCCTATCGAACAATTTTATGGCATAAACGCATGGTGTAGACATTTGGCTACATACACAAAAACCAAGTCGAAGGCACATTCGGGATAGATTACCAAAAATATAAGTTATAATAATGAATTCTTTCATTATTTCTAACACGTATGTATTTTTTTCCAATCGTTTTAGCAATTAATTCTCACTGAATCCGAAATTCAAATACCACAAATTTTAACACTACCAATTTTTTCTCCTTCGCGATCGCTACGTCAAATATCGGTTAATTTTTTTTCAAATCTACCTTCATTTGCGGTTTTTTTATTTTTATTATGATGTTTTTTATGATATTAGCGTACGTTCAGAAACGCTTATAAAATGTGTTACTTTTTATAATTAAAAAAGTACTTCGTAGACATTTGGCAACACTATGCATTTAAGGGNGTTTTGGGACGATCACTTTTTGACCATAATAAAAACCTAATTGACGTTTTCGAACGGCTACGAAAAGTAAACCTTAAATTGAATCCATTCAAATGTAATTTTTTAAGAAAAGAAATACTGTATTTAGGCCATGTAGTTTCTAGCGAAGGTGTTCTACCTGATCCGGCAAAAATTGAAGTTGTTAAAATATTAGTTTTATTCTGTGTATGTTTGTACTCTATGGTAAAATTCGCGCCTTTTTCGAAAGCTTGTAACTTCTATCTACTCTGTGGGCATCAATAAAAGANACTTCCTTGATTCCCGAAATTTTCAGTGCAATTTTGTTAAAAATTAAAAAACTTAATTCAACCGCTTACCATCACCAAAGTTTGGGTGCTTTAGAAAATTCTCATAAGAGTTTAGCAGCATATTTACGTATTCAGACTGAACAGAATCCTGAATTGTGGAGTTCTTGGCTCCCCTTTTGGTGTTTCGCTTACAACACTTCAGTAAATTCATCCACCAAATTCACTCCCTTTGAGTTAGTATATGGTAAAAAATGTACTTTACCTAGCAACCTGACTAATTGTATAGAACCTCTTTATAACCATGACAGCTACCCTCTTGAACTAAAATATAGATTACAAGTGAAAGGGATCTTGCTGGAATGAGACTCCTTGTAGTTTCACACACTTTATTACACTTTTACAAAGTTCTTTACACTTTGACTTCTCGTCGCACACTGACGAACGCTCGTGCTACCCTGGCCTTTTATCATGTCCGTTAGAGTGGGGCGAGTGGAGTGGGTGTTCCCCACCAATCGCATAGTCGGAAGCACGTGCGTTAGTCAGTATAATTACTTATAATTTAAAAACAAATTAGAAAAAATATTAAGAAATAGTAATAATTGAAATAAATTCATGTGAATTAATCATACATTTACTGATTTTCTAATACAAGTTTCGCAAACACAAGCACGCAAGAATTTATTATCTAGTAAATTAGTAACAAAACAAAGGTATGATGCTTATATAAATCCAATAAAATATAAGCCAAATGATCAATTGTTAGTTAAGAGTGAGACAGGTAATAAACTTACAACTTTATATTTAGGACCTTATAAGGTCATAAAAGATATTTCACCAAATGTTGAAATTCTTATTAATGGAAAACATGAAATTGTTCATAAAAACAGAACTAAGCCTTATTATGAATAAATTGAAATATTTTCAATATTTCGTATTCCGAAATTGTGTATTGTATTTTGTAAGACTATATTTACTCCTTTTATAAACAGGAACTGTGTAATTGTGTAACCCTATCAAAGTTCCTATAATGCTATGTTAATCTTATATCCTTTTAAAATAAAAAATTAACCTGTAATGTTAATTTTTTTTTCAATGCCTTGTGGACGTGTTGTATGTGTATTCATAAGACATATTATACTATACTTACTATTACTTTGCACGTATATAAACTGTTGCATCATGTTAAATAAACCTGTATTTATCCATCAATCGTCTTGTTACTATCTCAACCTCATAACAGTATGATTATTTTTTAAATTTAAGAAATTATTATTTTTCTCTTTTTCTACGCCGAAGTAGAATCTCTGCTTAGGTCAGATAGATTTCTTAAAATAAGCTCTATCACCTATAATTTTTCTATATTCTAATAATACCATGACGTATTGAGCTATTCTACAAAACCAATGTAAATTTATTAGTCTACGTCTATTAGTTTCGACGTAATTGTTGAACAAATATACCCCTTCCCAGCGGTTTCCATAGTAATCGGAATAGGTTGTGTGATTCTTTCAGGCAGTGCATTTTCGCATGTCGCGTGCGTACACTTATAAATTAAGTATAAAACATGGACATAGAACACATATTACAATACAAAATACAAAATATTTTATTCATACAAACAAGTCACATAACAAAGTTTTGGATCTAATCCTTTTAAGTTTTATCAACTTGTGTTAGGATCAGACCGCTCTGTCTAAATACAATAATGAAAACAGACTCGTTGAAATGACGTTAAATGTTACTTAAATAATGTTACTTGAGTTAGTGATGAAGTAAATGATTATCTTATCTTATCTTATCTAGTGTTATATGTGAGAAGTAGAATTAAATAGACATATAAGTAAATAGATATAAGTAATTAAATAATCTATACTAATATTATAAAGAGGTAAAGTTTGTGTGTTTGTATATTTATAATTTGCAAGGGGCAATCACGGGATCTACTGAACCGATTTTAAAAGTTATTTCACCAATAGAAAGCCACAAAATTGCTGAGTGTCATAGGTTATATAAAAAACCGAAAAATTCCACGCGGGTGAAGTCGCGGGCGGAAAGAAAGAAAANTACTATCTCAACCTCATAGTAGCAGGAAGGCGCTGTATGCAGACCGCTACCAACCGTGCGATGTGGAAGTCATTGGAAGAGGCCTATGTTCAGCAGTGGACGTCCTGTGGCTGAAATGACGATGATGATTCTAAGGACTGAGGGTATAATACTCGTATTATGACAGCGAGCGGCAGTAGCGGCGTAAGGGGGGGGCGGTGGGAGCGGTCTGCCCCGGGTGCCAAGCATCAGGGGGTGACAAAAGTCGCGCAATAAGTACTCACTGACGCATCTGCATGGCAAGGACGGTCGTGATTTCATGACAGGGGGGTGCCATTCTGGGATGTCTGAGGCTATTTATTATATTATGCCGCCCCGGGTGCCAACCTATGCTACGCCGCCACTGGCGAGCGGTTACCTATGTCGCGGCACTTGCGGTGCAGGCGCAGCGCGTCGTCGGCGGCGCGCTGCAGGCGGGCGGCCAGCGGCCCGGCGTACAGCTCGGCCAGCGCGGCGTGGTCGCGCGACAGCGCGCGCGTGTTGTCCAGCGCCGCCTGCCAGCACGCGAACGCGCCCGTCAGCGCCCATTGCTCGCGTCTGCGGATAGGGGAGTACCAAACAATGATCTTTAAAATTCCTTACACCTGATGAGCGCTCATGAGACATATGGAATAACCTGGACAGTTCCATCCAATGTCTCAATCCTCCAAGAGTTTGGCATCAGCTTTCTTACACCGAAGATTATTAGTAATTTGTTATTACACAAATTACTAATACTCCCGTTAGCCCCTCGTACTAAGCTAAATATGCTTGTGTCACGAGTGAGCTCACCACAATAGTCGAGCGGCGGCGGGGACCGAACCCGCGTTCCCCGGATCACGAGTCGGCCAGACCGACCCCTTCACCGCTCGGCTATCGTGGCTTGCTAACTTTATTAGGCCATATCACACATCTGTGGAATGAATTGTCGTCCAGGGGAACTTTAAAAATTCAAGACCGTGCGAATGCGGAAGGTCGCCCATTCGTTGTCTCGGTCAAGTTAAAGCCGCACTCAATGGTCCACTGTACGAATGGAGAAATGGCAACGTATTATGAAGCGTCATACCAGGTGTGACAACCACAACCTCCCTGTCAAGAGTGCAGCGAAGACGAAGAAGAATATATGGGTGGTTGAGCAATGAACCCGCTCAAGGTGCAGCTCCGCTACGGGTGGAGGCACTCACTTGTGCTTCTGCTCCTTGTGGCGCTGGTGCGCGGCGCGCGCGAGCTTGTCCAGCGCTCGCGCGTACTCGTGCTCAAGGTCGGCGCGCCGGCGGCAGTAGTCGGACAGCTCGCCCGCCACGCCGGCCGCCGCCTCGGCGCGCTGCTCCAGCACGCGCGTCTGCTCCGTCAGCTGGATGCGGATGTCTGCAACCCACCGCGCCGATTCTTATATCATCTTGTTACAACTTACAACGGCACACCGTATACAGTCGGTCCAAAAATAGGAACACGATGTGTTGATGGAAACCGTTGAAAAAAAGATTATAAGAGTTTAATGCCCGTTTTCACCATCAATCCCTAATTTTTAAGTGACCCCATTTAAAACAAAATTCCTGTTGTGTTCCCATAGAGGTCACTTAAAAATTAAGGATTGTTGGTGAAAACGGGCAAAGGAAAATTAATAATTAGAACACATATTGGACACATCTGTCAGGGTCGTTATGTAAGAAGTCTACATTATTTATTAGTAAACCTGCTAACTACGTGTTTATATTAACAAAACAAAAGAAACGATAGCACGTACCAAATAGTACGAGAGCCCACGACCAAAACCATGTCTCATAGCAATACGGCAAAAACCCTATAAAATCGTTAGATTGTATGATTCTGAACCCGACTAGGTGTGTAGTAACGGTCGAAAGTGTAGCAACTGCGTTTCTGCTGTTTCAAAAAAAAAAAGACAGTCGGTATTATAGCAATACGTCTGATAGTGAAAATGTACATAGATTTTATAATTGTATTACGAAAAAGTTTGTTTTCAGACATTTTGCGCGTAGCATATAGCCTGAGCGAATTTTTGAAAATGTCAACAAATTTAGCCGACCTGTATACCTTTACGGGTTTGCGCTACACCACTAACGTCTGAAAAATATGTTTCCGGTATCTCAGAACTATCATTCAACTACAGTCTGCAAATCAGACATATTGCTATGATGCAGTTCGGTAAAATTCTTTGACAATTCGGTCAGATCAAACGCTACGCGGAAAATGTCTGATATTGTTTTTTTCGAGTTCAGGATAATCGTATCTATCGATTTGATGCGGTTTTGGCCGTATTGCTATGAGACAAAAATTTTGGTCGTGGGCTCTCGTACTAAAAAGGCAGTTTCATCACACACAAAGTGGATTTAAAAAAATCTTGAGAGATTAACAGGAAATATTAGCTAGATGCAGAGAAAGCCCAAACTGATTGATCTCGTATTATCATAAGCCAACTATTTTTACTGACAAATTCAAATCCACGTGCACGAGTTTTCGGCAGAGAAGTGACGTTGATTGATGCGTCAAACATTGTTTACGTCCATCACTTTTGCCTAATATCACAGCAGTTTATGTAGCACAGCTGTGACTCACCAAGTGTTTTATGGAAAGAAATCGACCAAAATAGTCCTGGGTAAATGGAACGTGTCATGTTTTGTTTATTTATATTCGGTGAAGGAATAAAGACCCATCATTCCGCTAATGAGGAAGGAAGCCTTATACTAAAATGTTTGAAGATTTTTTAATATTCATCTCGAATTCTCGAGGCAACATGAGAGCTGAACGATTACAAAACTTGCTATATTCTGGTGTCAACAAGTTGAGTGCTAATAATTATAGAAGTGCGTCCTTTGGAAAATATTGGTCCTTTTTATTCACGGTCAGTGTCACCGCAGCAAGTGAGGCAAGCGAGCATTGCTCTCGCGACTCATTAGGCCGGCCCCGAGCCCCGTGTGTCGCAGCGGCCGTTGGCTGGTCATATTCCAGCCGCTGCTTAAAACTTAAGAGGCACGAATTACGCCGCATTATCGGGAGGAAGCCGTCGATCACTGCAGCCGACTACGCCTTCCGCTCCCAGCGCCAGGTCAGGACCAGAAACCGGGATTGTTTAGCAATTTGCGCAACGCTCGGGAAGTCGGGTTGGATGGCCATGCGAATGCATGATGACTAATGATCGAGAAAATTCCAGTGCAAGTGGATAGTGATAGCAATTATGGCAAACCATTTACAAGGATTACGATAGTGATAGTGCTATTAATAGTACCTAATATATGGCAAACCATTTTTACCTACAAGGACTTTTTTCATTTTAACTAAGTGTGGGTATATTGTACATTCTGAGCTGCTTATACTTAGACTAATCCTAATTTTATATTGTACTACATTTCTGGTAGAAACGATAAGCAGTTCGATGGCCGCAAATTAAACGAGGAAAACGATCCGGGAGCCAGTTCTGCAAATATTTCGCTCAATTTTAAATTAGTTTTTTTTTTATCTTTGCATAATAATCTTCTTTACATAACATAGACGGGACGCTTCGAGAATATAAAATTGGACGTCATAAGATTGTGATTAAATGAGATGTTTGTAAAACGGGGGCGCGTCACAACGTCATCGCAAGTCACGACGTCAGCGCCTTGACCATTAGACCTCGCGATTCCAAATCTCGGCAGCAAAAATAAACTTGATGACAGCGCAAATGCACAGCGCAGGTTCCTGTGTGACGATCAGCCAGCTGAGACTGCCGAGAGCTATTCTGCGCTAGAATTTTGTAAGAATTATTTCTTTCGGAAACAAATAACGCATTCCAACTGTTATGTAGGTAGTTTAGTTAAAGCTTTTTTCTCAGCACTTGGCACGCATTGTAAAAATATTACTAGCATACGTTTCTGAATTGGCAAGTAGAATTTCCAGTTGATTGTGTATTACTTTTGTATGTATGTTAATAGGTAGTAGGTACGTTATGTATTATTGTTTGTTACACTTTTGTTTCCCATTTTTTACCTATGTTAATACTGTTGTGTATGCGTTGTGGTATGGTCTGGAGTAAACGGCAGCTTGATTCCCACACTCATAGCCGTAAATCTTAGTGTATTCCTTGATTGTGCTGAGCAAATAAATGTCATCTTACAATTGCTAGCGCGCTTTGTTTCATTCAGTAACATAAGCTTTAAATCAATCTGAATGGGAAAGCATCATTCAATTTGTTCTTTACTGTTTCTCGTACTTACTTGTTGTATTATATGCAAAACAACATTCGTAAGTATTACTTACAATTCCATATTGATACTTATAATTTAAGTATATTAAATATTTTTTATGCTCCGGGACTAGCAATAAAAACAAAAGGTCATCCACACAGTAAGAGCGATATAAAGAGTGGTTGTTATCAAAATGGAAGGGACCAAGCGAGGGGAGCGGCGACAGGAGGGGACGCCGCGAGGGCAGCCGGGACCGGCTCATTGATATCGCTCCATCAAAGTCTCCGTATAAACACTGCGTACGTGTTACCAGTGCCATAAAACACGATAATTATTTATGAACTTCGCAGCGACCGTCATCTGTCCGCGTCGCCGAGGAACCAGTGATTATGGAAAACCTTGTGAGCCCAATTAACGTTCGAGAAAGGAGTTCAATTATAGGCCGCGAAGCGCGTCGTACGCATGCAAATACAGTGATTTCCTGGCGCAAAAAATCAGCCGGCTGCAGCCCGGCTGCTACCTGCGGGGAACACCTGCGCCCCAGAGCCCGCATGCACACATCGCGGCTCGCTTCATATGCCGGCCGTCGAGCCGCATCTCGCGAACGATCACACGCCGCACAATGCACAATAACAACAATGAACACATGTTTTACGGTATTCCGTACGCGGGAGCTTTCACAAAAAACGCCTGTCACGTCTATCACTCCACGGAGACGCAGTTATAATTAGTTATTGGCATTCGAAACGTTTTTGTGCCATTAATAGATCATAACGGTGTTCCCGTCGAGTGGTGTGACGGGAGAGCGGAGTTCCCGAGGCGTCGGGATCCGGGCACTCGTTCGGTGGCGTGCAACGGATCGGGTCAGCGTGTGGAGCTGAGCAGGAGCGGGATACGAGGAGTGTTTACCGGGGTGCGCATTGGTGAGGTCGGGCGGTCCCCAGTCGTGCCGGGGCTGCACGATGCAGTGGAACATCGCGGCGCGGGCTCGCGGCAGCGACGGGCGGCGGGCACTGGCGGCGCGCGGCGCGCAGCCTCCGACGCACCCCGCCACCCCTCCGGCGGCCACCCTCGCGCGTCACGATCCTCCGCCGGCCGCCAGCCGCCACCGCATCTCATCACTTATTCGATGCACGTAACGTTACTCTATTTCCGTTCGTATTTGTACGTTCCGGAAGCAATGACATAAATTAGCGCTTCCATCATTACTTTAATGTAACCGTGACTACTTTGGCTATGATATGTAGGTACTCGTAGTACCAAAATCCCATTGAAATTTAAAAGTTAAGATTAGTCAGTGAATAAGTAAGTACACGGCTGACGCACCATGTCATTATTAGCCTTTAAAATTTTGTTGACTATTGTAATTCAGGTGGAGGCATCAATAAATTAAACAGTTACGCTGATTGCTTCTAGGAATTAGTAGCATTTCACGGTGTGGCCAGATGTCAACGGGATCATCGTACAAAGGAGAGAGTTTCGAAGCGACTCAAGGTGCAAAGAAATGGGTCAATATTTACGAGCAAACAGTGATCTGTGCATCGGCGTGCAGTTCAACACACCGCGCGCGCAGGCGGGGAGAACCGGTCGCGCGACCAATATTTGCTAAAATCTGTGTAACGCTAGAACTAGCCACCGCACCGGTCGCGACTTGCTCCACGAGGAATCCTCCAGGAAACTTTCTATAGTAAATATTTTTCTAACTGTATAAATTCATCCCAGGCACCCTAACGAACGTAATGAAAATGAAGACTTTCTCTTTATAGGTCTCGCAAATCGGACGTTCAGCTGCTTAGACATCCTTGCACACTTAGATTAATAAAACCTAGATAGATAGTCAGTGCACGAAAGGTGAGGCAGATTTTAGTGAGCCAGAATGGCTTACTCGTAAACGTCACATGAACTGTCAAAGTGAAAAATTGGTAAACACGTCCGACGACTTTTAATTAATTAAGACGGTTTGTGCTGTGAATGGGTGTCTAAATACATCAGAAAAACTAAAGAAAGTGACCAGTGTTACATTTCATAAGTAAGTACTACGATTCAACGCGTATTTTGCTTGAATTTGGCTTTCAAAAATTAAATACGGGAATGATACCAGTAACAAGAAAATTTATTTCCCAATTGTTCGCCGTACAAATACACTTCCTTTTTTATGAAATCGAGACTTTTAAGTCGATTTAT